CCAATGGTCTCCTGTATCAGGCTTAGTCCAAGGAGCTGGTTTGGCTACTTTCAAAACTATAAATACAGGCTGAAATATAGAAATGATTATCACCTTATATGTGTTTAAACGTTGTATCTGGCAGCATCAAAAAGCTTCTAGCATAATCATGATATGCTAGGAGCTTATCATGAACATTATTTGAAGTTTTGTTTATTCATTTTAGATAATTAAAGAGTATTCCAGTTCCAATGTTAAATGTTCATTAGAATTTACAGTTTACTGGTCTTTGAGAATGAGTATTTGCATTATTATGCCATTACCATTATGTTACTTGAAAATTGACTCAAAAGAACAATAGTATTGATTTTTGCAATAACTTCTGGGACAATTTATCATCCAGCAAAGTTTGTTATTGTGGCAGTAGTAGATTTCAAACACCTAACCCAAATCATCAATCTCACATGAAGCATAATTGGAGAATAACAAGCCAGGAACCAGCGAGGCCCATTTCATAAGCTGAAATATGTATTTCTGGCCATCTGGCCAGACGGATGGACAGTCCATCATTCCACCTGCAAATGTATCATTAAAAGTCCAAATTTAATTTGAGATTCAATCCCAATATGAGTGTATTTAAACTTTTCAGAGACATTGTGGCAACAGAGGCTGCCTCCTCAGAACACCGTTTTGAAGCTAATTACTGCAGCAGTGCCTGATTTCCTTTTGAAGCTTGTATACTGTCTCTTGTCATGATCTGGCTGGCATTTTACTTCTTGAGAGTCTGCTGTGGAAAACATCTCATCTCTGACACTACATGACATCTCCCTTTACAAAATATGACTAAACAAGCACATCCCTCTGCATATAATCCTGCAGGTTGAAGCCAGAGGGCAAATTCTGTCACTGTGGTGGTAAATAAGGATAAGACTTTTTAAGAAAATATGCCTGCACAGTGTCATGTTGACCTCTATTACACCCTGCATGTAAAGGCTTTGGTATGTCCAAAAGCATGCTGCCAAGTTGTGATGTTTTTCTTCCAAAAACAATTTTTGGGGTGGATTTTTCAGATAAGACACAAATACTGTGACTGAAAAGGAAATGGGGAGGAAAAAAAAACTTTTATCTATGCTTCACTTCAGGTATGTTAACTTTATTTGCACAGCTCATTCGATTTTTGTAAATGCTTCCTTGTTGATCAGTCCTGTTTTCATTGACAGGGCGCTCACAATGTGAGCAATGTACAAACTTCCTTTTCTTTTATAAGGGAAAAAAACTTGCTATGTGAACCAAACAGGCCTTAGGGAAACTCCTACAGATATGCAAAAAGCAGAAGCGAGGATTTACACATTAATTTGAGAGCCAACTGAATTACTTTCAAGTTTCCTGTCTCGTATTAGCATTTTGATCCAACAGGAAGGAAACAAAAAATGTATGGCTTCTCCTTTGGAGTCATGAGTTAACCATGCCAACTGAATTAAACACATTCAGAGTTGTTTATTGTGCTAATTTAAAACTAAACATGAATAAATGAACTTAGGAAGTTTTGCATACTTGATTTAAAGTCATTCCAAATCAGACGTTTTAATGAGGACCCTGAGTAGCCCTTTGATGTGCCTGATAAAAAAAAAATCCAAAGAAACAATCTTTTTAAAAGCATCTTCAAAAAATATATCTGCTGTCTTTGATGATTTCTTGGCCATCAGCATATAAAAAAAAATTCTGCAAATTGTAAAATCACACTTTGCTTTTAATAGGGATAACATTTGATGAACATGCCCCCTCTAAGTGTGGATGTTTTTTATCTTATCAGAGTTTAGAGTAAGAACTCAATTTGTTTCATGTAATGAAGAAAGCCAAATTAGTCACAGTGCATATCAAAAGTTTTCATACACCTTGAATATTTTTTACATTTTGACATGTTACAGCCACACTCTTCAATGTATTTCATTGGGATTTAACACAGAGAAGCATTTCAATTAAGCTGAATGGATGGCCTGACAGTGGATTAGCCTCAGTCACTGTAGCTTCTAAAAGGTTTTCCTTCAAGGATTTCCCTGTATCCAATTTCTCATCCAGTTTGTTTGCCATGTCTGTCTTTGACGACCGCAGCATTGCCACAGCATGATACTGCTTCCAACTTTTTCACTTCACAAATAGCCAGGGTACTTAAGGTTGGACTGTCAAACAAAATCGCAGCAAAATACATTAACTGTAGGTATTTGTAATGTGACAAAGTTTTAAATATTTCTAGGAATATAAAAACTTTGGTAGAGAACTTTAGAACCAAAACCTTCAATCTGTGGTGTTTGTTTCTTGCTGTGCAAACTGTATTTATAAATATCAAAATGATTAATTCACTGCAATTTACGCTGTCATCATGTCATACTGGCTTTTTCAGCACCTCTGATGTAAAAATATCCATGGTATTACAGGAGGAAAACCTGCTGAAAACTTAGATAGGAACAACAAGACCATATGAACTATAAATCAAAAGAGGATTCAGAAGAGTAGACAGAGGAGACAACCGGGTGAAGCAGAACTGCACTGTGTTCTCCTAAAGAGTTCAGACAGAGTCTGCAACCTGTGGCTCTGCAGCCACCCTGTGAGGACTCTTAATGACTTTGAAAAAACTAAATTATTTTATTCCATATCTAAACTGAAAAGGATAAAACTAATGGTACAAGAGGTACCTCTTTTTATTTTTTATGAAAAATATAAAAGCAAGTCTCTCTGCAGTTTGGACAAATCTAGAAATATGGGGAGTGTAAAAAAATGTTTTCAGATTTTTTTTTTCTGTCCAATTTTCCATGTTTTGCTAATCTATCCATTCATCAACCTTCCCTACAAGTTCTACTTCCAAAACCTTACCTCATTTGCCTCAAATGTATTGGCATCTATTCATTTAGATGCCTAAATCTAGATGTATAGATTCTGTTATCTTCTTATAGAATTAAGGTCGACAAATTTGTAGACAAATTTTATTCAGCAGAAATGAGAGTCTAAATGGTTGTATGGATTGCAAACTTCTTGCTCTGGACTAACACTGAAAAACTTTTTTTTTTGTTTGTTTTTTTACAACACTTAATTCAATAAAATTATCTTTATTGCCATTTTTAATTTAACACATTCAAATGCAGTAGAAACGTCAAAGCAACTTTGTAATCAGAACATTAGATTATTTCTACCAAAACCCACTCAGCTACTTTTTATTCATGCTTAAACCTTGCAGGGTGCTGGAGGTTATCTTCAGGGGTCAATGGGCGAGGCCATCGGTCAGGTCGCCAATCTGTCAGTGACCACGTTACCGTGTGATACTCGTGCATGAACACGTTGATAGCCAAGAACAGTTTGGAAGGGCCAAAGCAAACACGTGTACATGGTTTTGGACTGTGGGATATGTGTTGAGGAAAATTAAAGGCATTTACTTGGAGAACATATACTGAAGGGCTGGGATTTTAACCCTGGAACTTCATGCAACTATTTTCACTTTAGAATAAAAAATGAGGAAGGAGGTGGGGGGAAGCTAAACATTTAGCATAGTTCCGGTGCTATGAAAAGTTCACAAACCTTTCACCCAACAAACAAATGTAAACTTCAAAAAGTGAAAACTAGCTGAGTTTGAAAGACTGTGCTCTAAATGGTAACTTAATAGTTAAACAGCACCACCTGCTGGGAAACGTAGATATGAACCTCAGAAGAAAGAGCACACCTCAACCTGATAAAATGTTTTTTGCCATTTGTGTTTGATTGAAAGGGCAACAACAAATGAGCAATTAAATCTCTGACCTCTACACTGGCCAGTTTTGTCCACTTTGCTTGTTTTTTGTTAGCTTGGACTGTTTAACCATTTTAGCTGCTACAGTAAACTTTGGATCTAATTTCCCAGTCAGGGCTTGTTCTGGATGAATACTTTTTCTGTTGTTTAAAAATGATATGCAAATAATATCAATATATAGCATCATGTCATCTGGTAAGCATTTAACAACCTGCCAATAAATGTGATCACCTTTGAACAGTGACAGGTGTGTCTTCTGCCGCTTTACAAAAAATATGTACTACAAATGTTTAATTGGTATGAAAACAATGACACTCAAGATGTTAATATTCAAAAAACAAAATCCATTCTGTTAAAAGGAAAATATATTTTAATCTGTGACAATTGCATTTTGGGAATGAACAGATTTCTAACATTCATTCCAACTTTCCAGAGTTCTCAGTCTTTTGTGTTAATTTTAAAATAAATGATAAATGGATGTTTCTACAGTGGGCAGGCTTTAACTATGAAGTCTGGAAAAACAAAAGATTGGGAGGATGGAAGAATGCAAGTAGTGAAAAGAGTGGAGAAAAACAGGGTAAGAAGCAAAAAAGACAGAAAACATAGGCAGCCATTTTGCCCCTGAACAAACTGGATGGTAAAATTAGAGGTTTAAAAAAAAAAAAAGAAGCAGCTTGGTTTCTGTTTACTTTGTTCTTTATTACACATTAAATAGGAGTGTTAAGATTCATGACAGAAAAAAAAAAAAAAAAAAAAAACTTTTTTGAGATCAGATCACCACCCTACGTCACCCCAACAGGTAGACTGTAAGGTGGTCATTCATTCCCCTCTGCAGACCTGGACCCAGACACTCTCCAGTCACAAACAGAGTGGAGCATAACTCCATTAAAGCAACATTCATTAAAGACACACCAAACGAAACGAAGCACAATTTACAAAACATGAAACCTTTTCGGTATCACAACTATACAAAGGATATTAAAATACGATCCAGGTATAAATGATACATTTCAGCAATCAGCTGTTGGCACACAATAAAAGAAGGATCATCTTAAACATTACAGTAAAACTAAACTTAAAACGTATCCTTATTATTAGGAGGATCTCATTAAAATTGCATCAGGTATTTATCAACTTTATGGAAGAAAAAACAGGAGGTAATAATATAGCAGGGTCAAAATTCATTAATCCCAAATGCAAAATCCCAATTTTCTGTGACATAAGCATTTCACCCCAAAACTAATTTGTGCATTTTTTTTTTTTTTTAGGTACAACTCAGGACAAAATAAGTGTCTAAACGTAGCACCTACGGTAATGATGAAAGGCAAATAAAAACACTCAGTCTGTAGATATTATGACAAAGGTGACACGGGCTGACCTGAGAAGAACTAGGATTAATTGTTTGGATTAACTCCGACATTTATGTCTAAAAACCTATTTCATGGCAATTTGTGCCTCATTTTAAAAACATCCATTCCAATTATAAAGAGGTGGCCAATTTCAAACACCTCCACACGTTACTCCTTAAAGTGTTGTTAACCTTTGGGACTCCGAACAGAGGCAAATTTTTCTTGCAGCTTTCAAAAAAAGTTTCTATTCTGTTACAAAACAAATTACTTTTTACATTTTAGCAAACAGTTAAAATGTAAAGTCTTTAGCTGAGAGCATGAAGGCGGTTTACAAGTAGAAAATAACTCTTTTTTTTTGCAAGGATCTCATTAAACAAAGCCTAAAACTCTGCAACATAAAACACAGCATTGGGTAAAAATCATAATCTATATTTTAACTCTTTCATTTAAAAAAAATTATTCTGACAAAAGAAATTACTGAATGCTCTTTATTAAAAACCTGAAAATTAGAGTCCAAGTTCCTCAATGCAACAACCAGAGGCAGTTTGCAATCTCCATGTCATTAAGGACACAAAGCATGCAAGGGAAAAAACAACAACACATTTTCTCATTTAGGCATGAAATCACTCCCCACACAATACAAAGCAATGACAATTTTCAAATTAATTAATTAATGGCTAACTAGGATATTAGACACTTGGGGATGGGGGTAAAGATTAGAAGTCTGCATGCATACTAATCAGTGACAAAACTAAGGGGTAGGAACAGGTAAGAGATGAGGGAATTCCACAGTGGCTGGGACATTTGGACCTTACTGGGCTCAGTACTGGTCTTTCCTCCGATACAGTTTATCTACACAAACGGGATGAATTCTCATTCTTTGGCATCCCTTACAACCAAAGGCGGTGGCATTTCAGTAAAAACAACTGAGTCATAATAGATAATTTGTCAAATATAATTGGTAATACAGTTTTCTCCTGGTTGGGTAACAATGTGAAAAATCCCACATAATTGCTATATTTTAAAAAAGAGAGAGAGAGACAAAAATATGGCTCATCTGGTTCTTACAGGTCAGCATCTGGCACTACATTGGAAATGAAGCTTATCGATGTCCGAATGGAAGAATCAAATAGGGGTTAGTATTTATTAAGGAAGGTTCGAACAAAACAAAGGCTAATAATTTAGTGTAATGTACAAAATGTTATTACTTTGAGCTGTTCAACATTGTTGTTTTGTTTTGTTTTAGTCTGTCTTGAAAAAGGGAGGGTGGTTATTCACATGAGTATACACTTTGTCTTGGACTTCTTTTTCTTCTTTTTGCCCTCCTTGCTCATCTTCTCCTTATGCTTTCGGATTTCTCGGACTAATGTGTAAAAGGCATCATCGACACCCTGGAAAGAAAAAACAAATCAACTGGTCATACATGGAAAAAGTTAAAAAAATTAAGAGTGAGGTACTGCACCTTGCAAGTGTATGCACACCCCTTCAGCTTTTTCACATGTTTACACCACAACCACAAACTTAGGTTTATTGAAACTCCAGAAGATGGAACAAATATGTCAAGTGGAAAGTAAATGACAAATGATGTTAACATTTGCTTTCTCAACAAATAACTTGGAAAGTTTTTTGCAGACTGTTTTTTTATTTAGAGTTATTTAGATCATTTATCTAGCAGCTTTGCTTATCTAGTCTCCTGTCTTCTTTGTAAAACAGGTCAAGCTCAGTTAAATAGACAGATACAAAGAACATCTGTAGCATCTTGTCACAGATTCTGCACCGCTGGTAGTTGTGGTGCAGACAGATTCTCTTCCAGAATTATAAAAGGCTTCATAACTACAACTCCATTCTCACATGAATTGAACAATGTTAATTGAATGAACTTGAACATTCATTCAATGAACTTGGGTCACTCAAGATGGGTTACAACTAGAGTGATCTAACTCAAGTTGTTATCCAACAACTTGTTGAGATGGGCGACAAGTTAAGAGTTGTAACCCAACTCTTAACTTCTCCATGACTTTCTTCCAGTTATTATTAGAAGTTAGTATTTCTTCCACCAAGTTTGCTGTACCCCCATTACATGGCTTATGGGAAACTGCAAACAAAAGTCTCGGCCTTCTTCTTGCCACTCTTCAATGACTAAATGACTTGTAAAGTGGAAAAATAATAGCCGTCATGTCAGGAGATCCTCCCACCTGAACTGTGGATCTCAGCAGCTTCTCCAGAGTTACTATGGCCTCTCGTACTTCATCAGAACTGTCAAAATTGGCTCTCATTGACGTAGTCACGTGACAGAAGTTGCGTCATTTTGTTAGTCATCAGTCTTCTCAACAAAGACCTGGCCAAACCATTTCGACAGAGCTCTGTGAGAAGTTTGTTGCAGACGTGAGCTTGGGCAGCAATGTTGATATTTTGTGGAGATTAGGGGTTTGATGTGTACTGAAGGGTGCCTCCCAAATGGTCTGCACTCGTTGTGTGTGTAAATATGAACATCCCAAAAACATGTGACTGCATGATGAATGTTCAGCTTTGGATGAAGTGCGGGAGAGCCTTAATGCTCTCCAGGACCCATCATCTGGGGTGGTAAACAGGTCTTCATAGGTTTAACAAACATCTAATCGTTCTGGCCAATAACTTAAAATACATTTGGGATTGTTGTTGTAATCTGATCACATGTGAAAAGATTTAGGGGATATGAATACATCTGCTAAGCAACACAAATGTTGCAAAAAAAAATGGGCTGAAATACAACCATCTCTGGTGGCACCATCAGCAGCACAAACAGTAGCTGCAGTCATACAAGATAATTTTCCTCTGTCAGACCACAAGTGATTAGCTTAGTAACTCGATGGAACATGTATTTCTTTCTATATTACAATCATTCGAGCTTCCATCAGACTGGTTGGCATTTAATTTGGTAACAGTTGAAACAGTTCATCATCTTTAAGTCCCTCATGTCTGAACTTAATGGGGGTGAGCAGGTTTAACCCCAGGAGTTCAGATCTCAGCTTTCCTTCTCAATTATAGAGGTAAAAATAGGCTTTTGTTAATGCAGCTAGTGTCTGCTGATGCCATAGTATCACAAGTGTGAGTACAGAAGAGACGGTGCACTAAATATGACCATCTCCAAAAAAATTTAAACAAACAGGTTGGGTGAAGAGCTTTAAAAAAACAGCAAGACATTTACAAACCTATTAAAACAAAAAAAGATGGGGCTCTTATCTGTGAGAGACACGTTCTTTGGTGATGACAAATTTGACAGTTTATTGCATCACATCAAGCGTTTCAACATGATTTAGTCCCAAATTGACAATAACATCCTTACCAACCATCCCAAACCACTTTGCTCATCCCCATTTGGACACTTTCACACTGGATGTTTACCCTGACCACTTACTGAAGGCTTTTTCACACAAACTGACAATTTTACTTGATTATGGAAACAGAATGGACATTTTTGAGGAAGGGAAGATGCAAGAATAAACTGTTAGACTAGTTTAGATTAGGGATGCACAATATATCTGCTTTGATATTGGTATCGGACGATGTTTGCCACGTTTTTACAGCAATACATTACCATTGGTGATACAGGAATGTAGGATGTTTCTCTGAATTAATCTCAGCTGTGTGATTGTTTTACAATGTTGGAAGGGTAGAAAAAACAACTACGCTTTTTTCATACAGCTGGAGAGAGAAACAGTAATAGATGGAAATAATCGGCCACACCAGACCAAATTTTCATACTGGTGCATCCCTAATTTGAAAAGCACCCCACTTGGCGTGATTCAAAGCTGTATAGACTTTATAAATTAACTCAGTGTGAAAATGTCCATGGATAATAATCACCTACAATGCAAACAAAACACTTTTAAAGGAAGAGGAAATCAGCCGCTTCAGCCTCCTGTTAGAGCATCACCACAACCCTTACAGAAACCAGCAGCTAAAGCTTTGAGAACACATGAAGCATCACCGTCCACCGATTCCTCCGTGGGTCCCCACTAACACAGACAAAGCTGGTTTGTGCGCGGCTGCGTACACTTACCCCTCTCACATCACAACACACTTTTTAAGCTTGACACACTTCGGAGTCTTTTCTTCCTTGCAGATCTTATTGAGGCGGTACAGCCTGATCTCCCGTACCAGAGTGTAAAAGGCATCTTCCACTCTCTGTAGTACAAGACACAACTTTCCTCAATGCAGAGGAAGGCAGGCAACAATACCGTATGGATGCATGTGTTACAGACTACAGACACAAATGAGTGAAACAAATATTTTTGGTCCACTTCATATTGGGCGTGTGGAAACGTTTGTTTTGTCGATCACTCTGATTATGAATAATTTGCTCTCTGCAGGCTCGGACAGCAGTGATTATTTCAAACTAAATTATTTTTATTCAAAATATTTATACCCTGATTAGAATCAAACAAACATTGATTCCGCTTTGTGATTCTGGCTTCTTAAAATAAGAGATTCACTGATTGCTGTTATATAATGCAAAAACGTTGCATAACATAGGGATTTCAAATGACTTTAAACTGAAATATATACCTCAAAGAAATAAAAGCCTTTGTAGACTACCATTTCAACTTTTGAATATTCTTTTACAGTTTTCTGTTAAATAATAGCAAGTAATTGTTTGTAAAGAGAGCAGCATGTCTCAATAGAGAACAGATTCCTTCCAGTTATTCAGCCTCTATTCAACTCTGGTGATTGATCCATCTATTTTTTAAGATGTTGCATATGGTAGTTTTCTTCACAGTCCAGTTGAAAAACAAAAAAACTTTTAGAATTTACAGCTTCCCTGTGTCCATCCATAAACAAAAAAGGCCATAATTTTAGGAATGGAAAAAAAATATATGCATAACTGGAGTCAAAAATGAAAGAAAAACAAAGTATCTTACCACCCACCAGTCAAGCAGGTGAAATTTGCCTTTTCATCTGAGCAATCAGTGCATCCCTTCTTTATAGTCCTGATAAGTGATCTATGGTGCTAAAGAGGTGATGGGCTGACGCACACAGATCACAGTCTACTCCAGACAATTTAAATGTGTATTATATTTTTATGCAGTTTTTCTAGTTTCCAAGCCTGTAGCAGCAGAAATAATGACTCCAGTGCAAAACCAGTATCTTTGCTTTTCAGAGAAATTCCACAGGAAAAGAAACAACTGTGCAACAATTAAGGCAAAAATGCCTGGCAAATTTCTTCCTGAAGAGATTTTCGATTCATTTTGAAATGTCAATGAAATGACATTTGAAATTCTCATCAGAAATTACACAATGCAAGGCTAGATAAAGCCAAAAATTGGGGTGATTAAATTTTGGACGTCTTAAGTCCCTGCAGAAATGCCTTAAATATTGTCCCTCTTTTACAGAAACCAAGACAACAGGAGGAAGACTGAGCATTTAAAGGAGGAGAGATCTTAATTGCTGGTTACAGAATTACAAAATGCTTTGTGGAAGTTTTTTATGAAACCGATCAAGAGCTATCTGTAGCAGCAATCCTAGTTTGGCACTGGAATCTTTTTTTGTCTCATAAAATGTGTGAATGCATTAGTAGCTTATCCTCTTTTGTGCAAAGCAAGACATTTTATCCAGAAAAATCAAATGACATCACCTAAAACTTCACAAATTCCTTGAGAAACAGACAGTAGCTGGTCAGACAGAAACAACACCGTGTGAACAGAAATTACCGACAAATACAGGCAGAGATAGGTGACCAAAGCTGCAAGGAATTATTCACTGTGACATTAATTTCCCCCCACCAGAAGGAACCTTGATTCAGGTTGGGTCAGAGACCAAGAAAAACGTGTTTATAGATCACTTCATCAGCCAGTCGGTTTCCGAAGGCCATGCTCACAGCACACACCGCCTGAACAGCAAATCTTCCAACACCCAGTCACAGTGACCAGTAAGAAGAATCATTAACCCGCCACATAATTACTGACAGTTTGTCCTTTCATGCAGACACCTTGACACAAATTAAGTGATTTGCTGATTAATTATTAGTGGGGAGCCTTTGCAGGTGGTCCTAATGACAATATAATTCACATATCCATGACAAAGTGGCATGCAATAATCACATTATGACCCATAAATAAATAAAAAATACTTCAATTAACCAAAGAGGATTTAATGAGGCTTGAAACATTAACTGGTAAATTTCCCAGCAACATTATTACAAAAAGACCATTAGAGATAGAGGAAGCAACACCACCAGTCACATTTCTCTCCAATTTATCAAACATTTTAAAGGACATCTGATAAGATTCTGATGATTTATTAAATTTCACATCAAAGTAAGAAATCCTGGGAGTGACACTTACCTGCCGTGTTTTGGCTGAGGTCTCGATAAAGGGAATGCCGTAGCTGCGTGCTAAGTCCTGAGCCTGCTTCGTATCCACCGTTCGAGAAGGGAGGTCACACTTGTTGCCCACCAGCACCATGGGGACGTCCTCAGAGTCCTTCACCCGCTTGATCTGTTCTCTAGACAAACACACAAGAAACAATTTTAAGTTTTAGGGCTTATTAAATACACTGACGACAGCAGTTGTGACAAGGCCACCTTTTCTTCTCTACAGGGAAGGAAACGTGTCCCTACCACTAACAGCATCACCACCACCAAGAAAGATACTAAAATTAGTGGTGGTGATTTTAGCATCACCACCACTAATTTTAGAAGTTTTCTTAAGCAGAGATCAAACACAAGACACCTCAAATGTGAGTTTAGTAAATATTGCATCCACCAAATTACAGAATTGCGCTCATTAATATTACAATGGTAATTGCAATTTTATACATTTTGCAGCTCTACTTTTTCAAATTACAGTAAGCTTTTACTCAAAACCAGTAGTTGGGTAATAAATAAAATGAAACTGTTTCTTTCATTAGAGAAATCAGGTGATGGTGTTTATTTGATGACGACATAAGTTTGAATAAATCCACGCCTTCCAGCACATCTTCCTTTCGTCTATCATTATGTTGCTTCCAACTCTGTGACTTTTATGTTTGACACTGTCATTTTTGTCAGACTGTGTATTTACTGCAGTGAGACTACATGAGGCAGGCTGACCACATTATAGCCTTAAAAGAAATCACAACAGTTGCAATTAACCAGAATTTAAAAAGTTGTAAAATTTTAGATCATCTTACTTCCAGAAGATGAGAAATTGCTTGAGAGTTTTCTTCGGGCACATCGAACAGATTAAAGCAGCTCTGCACACTGCTGGCCAATCTAACTATAGTTATGGTTAGCTAAAATAAATAAAATAATTAAAAAAGAAAAACTAATGTATTCTCTACTTGCCAACAAAATAGACACTTTTTGACTATTTTTGACTGCACTAGTGTAAAAAAATATATATCTTTACATAAAAAAAAGAAAAACTGTCCCATCATTTATGTTGCAATGATGTTGCGATGACAACAATTTTGCTAGATTGTGTGCCCATAGTTAACATATGTTATGGTATATTCTACTTTGTCTTTGGACACAAAACTTGCAATTCGGCCTGATCGGTCACATCGAGTGTCCGCTACATGGATAAATTACAAGGATTAGTAAGTCATGGTGCAATATGATATTTACAATTTTCAACAAGTAGAGACAAAGAACTAATGGAGTCTGTTAAAAGAGGCTGGACTCAGATATTCCTGACAGCAGATTGTTGATTCTTTAATTGTCTTTTCCACAACTTTCAGAATTTTATCCAAAAGCTTCCACAGGACATAAAGATTTGCTTCAATTTCTAATACTTTGGCTGAGTGTTACCACCCACTGCAGAGTCCGCAGCCCGCCTGGTATACCAACTCACCTATAGTGGTGAATGTCTTCAAAGGACTTGGTGTTGTTGATGGCAAAAACACAGAGGAATCCCTCTCCTGTCCTCATGTACTGATCCCTCATGGCGCTGTACTCCTCCTGACCTGCAGTGTCCAGGATGTCCAGCAAACACGTCTCTCCATCGATAACCACCTGCTTTCTGTAGGAGTCCTGAAGGTGGAACAAGTAAGAAAACCCAAAAACTGATCAGAACTCCAGAATCATGAGACAGCAGCATTAGCCAGGCGTAATTTTACAATAACAAGCAAAGACTGTGCTTGAAAAACAATATTAGTGACTGGCGACATTTTCTAATCTATTTGTTCTTTATTAAGGCCCATCTCTAGCTGCATTACTGCACTGTATTTTCTGGAAGAGCTCAAATTACATCAATGTCCCAGGCACCGTCACAGTACTCCCGTTGTTCATCGCACCGATGGCCACATTCAGACGGTAGCACCAGAAATAATTACCAACTGCTCCCATGACAAGCAATACACTCAGATGCTATCTTGTATCTAAGTAATCTATAGGCGCGCTCCAACCTGTCACAACACATCAATAATTGACTGAACGCATGACAAGAGAGTTCGCACAAGAAAGGTTGGCACTCGGAAAAAGCTGGGCAGGCAGCCAGGCATGGAAAGTCATTATAAACCTGTTTAGTGTCCTTTCAGAGCTGAAAACCTGTTGAGCCTGTTGCAGACTGCTGTTTTTTTCAGGTTTTTCCTTGTTTTGCACCCATCTATTCCTGACATGTATGCAAAGCCACTTGGATAGTTAGGAACTTGACTAAATGTGCTTTTGCAAAAAATAAATGTGAATACAACTTTGGTTTTTGTACTTTACCTCGATAGTCGGGTCATATTCATCCACAAAATGATTCTGGATGAGCTGGATCGTAAGCGCGCTCTTGCCGACACCACCAGCTCCCACCACAACCAGCTTATATTCTGTCATGATTTACCTGGGAAGAAAAATAATGTGTTAACTTGATCATATTTACACAAACACTGGGGGAGATACTCTCATTCCGTTGCAATTTGTTGGTTTTGTCCAAGTGTGTGTTGTGTCTGTGAGGTCGAGACTGAAGGCATGAGTGGAGAGAAAAAGGGGAAAAACATTGCTGAATCACTGGAAAATTAGATTCCACTTCACTACATTTTGAATCCTTATTTTAGTATTTAACAGAAAAACTAAGGAAAATGTTTAAATTATACACTTCTACAAACTAAATTTTCCAGATACTTTAATGTGTTTTTAAGAACATTGAAGACATGTGAAGGTTTTTATCAAACTATGAAACAAAATTGCTGAGGCAGGTCTTCCATTTCAACAAAGCAATAAAAGGCTATTTGACTTTTTTCTTTTACAACAGGATGAACACACAGCTGAATAATCTAATATCACTGCCTTTTTTTAAAACACCAACAGTTTTGATCAGCAATTCTTCCATTTCATTAAACAAAAAAAATAAATAAATAAATCCTGAAAATCTTCAACTGAAGTTAAAGGAAGTAAATTGGGTTCAGTTTAAAATCAGGACATTTGAGATTAAAGTAGTTTTGTATTTTATTTGTTCATAATTAAAATTTTAAATAAAACAAAAAAACACAACAAAATAAGAGAATAAGCAGTGATTTGAAAAAAAAAAACTAAGATTATAGCAAACAAAAACTTACACAGAAAAAGTATGAAGACTAACATACATCATTTGCACAAGCATTCAAATCCTAATCCAGCACCCAATTCAGTTCAGCGTTTAAGACCACAAAGGCCCAATAGTAACCCCAGGCAGAAAGAAATCTATGACATTACATTAAAGCTCTAAAATTGACAAGCGACTGGGAAACTCTCTGCTGTCTGGCTGCTTTGTGGAGCAACATCCATCAATAGAGGCAGATGGCCTTTACAGAAGTTACAGTGTAAACTGCAGAAAGCCAATAGCCTGCAGTCAGGGTTGAACTCAACTAAATGTTAAAGCCCTGGTTAAACAGGCAAACGTTAAAACAACAGCAAATGGTTTGGTAGATGTGTGATATGCATATTTTTTTGTCTCTCTAAAGCTATCAGCAGCATCTTTGACATTTATACTTATGATTAGTGACATAAGATACAAGGTTATCGGGGACAAATCAGAATGCACTGTTGGCAATGTGACAAAACACTGCAAGGATGTACATCTGACACATGCGTGGTATGACTTCATGAACCTTTCATCTTTGCACCTGATCAAAGTGGAGCCTAAAAGACAGATAGCACATGCATCAATTCAACAACAAATGAATGTCAAAGACCAATAAGGATTATGGTCATTCAACCTATTTAAATATTTGTAGTTTGTAATTGTTTGATTCACTTTATTGGTGCAAAAAGGAGCCGTTGGCAGACTCTTGTAATGATCAACTCATCTACTAGCAGGATGTTACTTGATGTAATGTGGGTTTGACCATATAAACATTTTATACATTTATCTGTACAACTGATTGAAATATTTAATGAAAAGCATATGTATTAACACACTATACTTTAATGAGTGTTTGCCTCCAAATAGTTTGTTTACAGCTAAAATGTCAAAGAGGTTATTTATTCATTATAGTGAAATATTTTTGCTGTAAGAATCAAAACAGAAAAATATCCTTATTACACTTTCATTTATTGAGAGGGCTCATGATGCAATAAAAAAGTTTGCTTTTTAAAATACTTATTTATCTGGACTCCTATATATTTTATATGTGCACTCCTCTGATTGTCACCATTTTCTCCTTTACATTTGCTGCAGTTAAAAATAAAACATGAGTTATCACCTGTAATTGTGAAAAACATTCAAGGGTCATATCTTGAAGAGGCAGAGATTACAAAGAAATATTACTAATCATCATAAAACAAACATGAGGCATTACCATTTTAGCGAGGAAACATTAGAAAAAATTGAATTAAAACACCACAACACAAATATTGACATTACAAGAATAATAATTAAAAAAAAGAAATATACTGATAAACAATGGAAGCACAATCAGAGGAAATGGTAATATAGAGGAAATGGACATAGATTTGGCTAATAAACTGACCCAGACTCAGTAATGATAGTAATGGTAAAACAGTAAGGTTACCCACTGTGTTACGTGTTTGTCGGCCTAAAAACAGAAGAATTGATTAGGAGTTAATTCAAAATGGAAAGTACAGCCAATTAGGGGTGTGACATCAAAGTAGCTGCAGACCTATTCTGTAATGTCAGTCTTACGATTTACAGTCCTTTAAATGAGATGTCAGAGAACATGCCAAAGTATAACCACAATTTTCTCTAGCTAAATAGTGCATGAAAGCAAGACCAAGTTAAAGTTTATTGATAAAGCATATTTACAACAACCTCAGCTGACCAAAGTGATTCACAACAAACACATCACAAATAGATGAATGATAAAACAAAAAATAAAACTGAGTTCTAAAAATAAAGACTATTATAACATTGTCAGAAAATGCCAAAAAATAATATGAATAAAACTAAAAGACACTTAATTTCAGCTACAGTGACTTCCCAAAAACTTAAATTATGTGCCTGCAGTCTGGCCTTGAACTGACCTACTGACTGAGATCACACAGTCCCTCCCCAACCTGTTGTTCCACATTGCCAGTCAGTTGGCTGAAAGCTAGTGCATTTGTTGCTCTCTTTGAAAAAAATGACAAATATTTAAAGAGTCATAAATAGGGTTAGTCATGGCATAGAAACTAAAGAAGCTCTGTGCATTATTCTTATAACACTTATGTTGTTTTAACAATACAGTGAGCAAATTATTAGCAACATGCCTGTTATAGGCAACTGGCAACCTGAACCTAATAATCAGTCAATGTATGTTAGATACACAAACTACTGATGAATCTGGCAGTATGTATACCAAATTCCTTATTTAAGTCTATGTATCATAAACAATACATAAATGTTATGGCAGTAATCACGTTATCTTAGCAGCATTGTGAGTAATTGTAGTTTTGCTGATTGAAAAAATCCCCCAACTGGACAATGTTACAGCTTTTCAAGTCTTTTTTACAAAGTTACATTGTGGGTCTCTCATACAGAGCCCATGCATACAATGCAGCAGCTGCTCGCCCAAAACACTGGAAAAATACTCACACAGGCTGATCAGAGGGCTTATTGATTAGCTTCCGAATATAGATGATCTCGTTTTGAAACGAGCTGTTAAATATGGTAACAGAATCTTTCAGTAAAAGCCCTGCGTGGGGTCCAGGTAGACTTTTGAGACCTTTAAAAGGGTTTAAAAGTCGACAGGAATTTGATTTAAACCCTGCCTGCCTACCAGTTAGCCTAGCACAGAAGCTCGCTTAAACACTTGAAAGTTACCTAACCCCGGTTTATATACATTTTCCTGGTGTGTTCCGGGTAAGAAAGACGTTAATGACTTTTGCCTGTTTAATGTGGTCGGACACAGTTTATATCATTCATTCAAAGAGGAAAGGAAGCCGCCATTGAGAGGCTAGCTAGGTCTGCAATGCAGGGCCAAGCGTTAGGTTAACAATTGGGCGTAGTTTGGGCTACAAATTTAAATAGTTTTACTACAATCTCGCAAATGGCTGTTTTAAAGAGAGGTACACCACCCTACACGTATTTGTGAAAATAAAAACAATAAAACAAACAATAAAAACGCCTCTACACGAAGCGAGCTTCTCTCGTTTGTTACCTTTTAGCGAATGGAGTTCCGCGTCTGAAGTAGCGACCAAAGAAGTCAAGCAGATAATCCTCCCGTTTCACTCGATCTCCGCATTTCCTACTTCTGCTTCTCACCAAAACCCCCGCATTCCGGTCGGTTCAACGTCGTGTCGGAAGCAAGCGGGACCATGCAGACAAAAAACAATTTAAAAAAAAAAGAAAGAGTGGAGGAATCAATCGATTGAACTTTCCATCTGATCCAGCGTCCCTTCGGCCTAGCTGCTGCTGCTGCTGCTCAGGCTGGCCCGAGTTACGGGAATATGGGCGGATACCAAGCAGGGCGCACTTTACCCAGAAATCATAGCAGGGAGATTTTTTAACCGGTCTGGGGCAAATCGGTCAACCGTCTCTGTAGCAATATGTGACCCACAATCCGCTCTGCTTTGTCACCTCTGTATGTACATTGCTGTCACCAGCTCAACAAATGTGCTACTGTGTTTTATTTAAACAAATTATGCTTAATGTCGCCATTTTTTCCCACCTCTATAACAACGAAATCAAAACCAAATGCAGTTTTTACTTTTGTATTTTAATACCCACATGGAATAATGTGAATATATAGAGAAGCCTGCTGTAGTTTCATGCCCTCCAGCACTCTCACTGCTGCTGCTCCTGCTGCTGCTGCAGCGTCAACAAAGCCTAGGGGGCGACTCCAGTATATATAGGTTCTAAATATAACTGGAATGTGCTGGAGGAACGTCATTCCCAAGCAAGGAAGTGATTTGCCAATTCCTTGTCAGTTTCTCTACGTATTCACTGGGGCTGCTGCTGCGCAGTACTTATGCATGACTAAATGTGCGGCTTGTGACAAACCCAGACAACTAATCCACGTTTTAGTGACGCTTGCAAACGTAAAAAAAGGGAAAAAAAGAAACACTGGGAGGACATCGCGCTAAATGATTTTTTGAAAATTGTTGATTGTGATGTTTTTATGACGTTTCTTTCTCCCATCCTTAGCAAACGTTTAAGGACTCATCTTAAGCTATTCTTTTTGCAAGTATATCTTTCAAAAAGTGTTATTAATCAAAACTTTATTATCAGCCTCATTACCGTAATTGTTAAAAAAAATGAAAGAAAACACAAAATATACAATTCGGATTAAAATATAAAATACATAAAATAGCTAAAATATTTTTTTCGGATTCTTCCTAACAACAGAGTGTAGAAGACGACTGAAAGTCAATTAATAAGCACTTAATATACTTCCCAATGTCCCCAATTTGCTACACTAACAGTTTCTGACCACTAGTTGGCGACATTTATCAATCTCCGAATTTCGGTCCTCAATAAATCAGTAGTGGATGGCAATAACACCAGACAAAACCTGCCAATATAATCATGCTAAATACATTAATTAGAACCATCCATCAGAAATAGGCAGACAAGAGGCAGCTTATTTCTTCCACCACAATCTCGCACCATTCTGACTAGTCTCACTGTACTTGCTGAGGAAAGACATCCCTATAGCATTAGCGTTGTTTCAAAGAGATGCTCAGTGTTAATCTGAACAAACCGAAAAGCGCTGTGCGAACCGCGTCAGTAAAAGCTAGAGCTATCTATCATCTATTGCTCCACCTCAGCAAGAGATGTAGATACCAAAGATTAAAACAATTACATAGAGATTTTATGTGACTTCCTTTCAGCAGACGAGAGGCACATATTGGGATTTTATATTTATTGGTCAACATCATTCAACATTTTTATTAGATATGGTCACAACATAAAAGGGATAAACCGGATACAATTAAAATCAATACCAATAAAGACATGGTTGTATACAACCAGTATTAAACCTCAAATCCAACTTCTCTGCTCCAGACAAAAAAAAATGTATTCCTACAGACAGATTCCAAATTTGACAATAAAATGATGATGAATTGGTTTTTAAAAAGCAGACCTCTTCTAAGCTCAGTGTCTGCACACCTCATGGTGCGAAAACCACAGTGAACCTGCTCGCATTAACAATGGCTGCATGTTTCACTTAGAGTGACTCACCACTAAAGCACTGTAATTGAAAAAGCCATCATTAACATTATTACTTGCTATTGTGCACCTCAGATATGGAAAAAGTAAATTGTTTTCTTTCATGGAGGTTTTCTGAGTCATGAGAAACAGTGGTTATTATAGTAATTGCTTCACTTTATGCAAGAAGATAAAATAAAAGGGACCTCGAAGCTTTGCTGTGTAAGTGACATTTGAAAAAGTGTTTCCAATTATGTGAGGCTTAATAGGTAAGAACACTTGCTGGATTTTGTACACCCCAAATAGTGCCTTTGTTTACATTTATTACAAGATAAAACTATTTTCTGTCACAAGATGGCAGTAAGTTGCTGTTTGTTAGGCAGACCACTACAGGAGCATTTTCCTGTCATCAGCTTCTACAACTCTGAAAAACTTTGAATATAGCAGGAGCAAAATTTTATTTGTATATACCAATCTTCTTATATACTTCTTACATGCCTTATTTTATCTAAGATGTTTTTTGGGTGTCCAATAAACATTTCAGAGCCAGCCTCCCTGGCCTCTTGGTGATTAAAAGATTTAATCCAAGCTCAAAGACATTTTAGATTTTTATTGCTGTTTTATAACTTTGACCATTTTTATTTGTTTTGCATCATAAATAATACTCAGCAACTCAGCTTTAGCTACAGATCCTCTGTAAAGGGAACTGTAAAGAGCAACAACTTCAGGTTATAATTATAAACCAAGATCTTGGTTCAAACACTATGGTCAAAATATGTAAGTTGAATAAATACACCAAAAAATATGTATCCCCATAATTAATGGAAATAGAAAACAACAAAGAAAAACCATTTGTAAGCATTGGTTGAAGTAGTCTGTATGGTTTCATTTATTATGGTTTTATATGTAAACTTCCACTTGTCAGTTCATTAGGTACACCTGTTCAATTGCTTATTCAAACAAATACTACAAAAAACAATCACAGAGTTGCCACCTAATGCATTTTTTAATCTAAACTTGGAGAAGAAGACTTGCTGAAGTTCAAGACAAACACAAAACACAAAATAAAGGGAATTTAAATGTAGCATTCTTGGTGCCAGACATGCAGATCTGATTGTTTTAGAAACTGGTGCTTCTTTGGGATTTTCAGGAAGGCACAAGTTACCATCACCAGGGTTTACAGTGAATGATCCAAAAAAAAAGAAAAAAGAAACTAATCACTTTTCAGCAGTTTTGTGGATGAAAATGCCTTACTGATGTCAGAGAATAAATGAGCAAACTGATATGAGGCGATGGAGAGATAACAGTAGATCAAATAGCCACTTGTTTTAACCAAGGCATGTGTAGTGCCATCTCTAAATGCACATGTCGAACCTGGAAGCAGATGGGCCACAGCAGAAGCAGACCACCCCGAGTGCCACTGCTGTCCTTTTAGGACAAGAAACTAAGGCTATAATTTTCACAGGCTCAACAGAACATTAACATTCTTGAAAATTGTTGCCTACTGCAATTTATCTCAATTTCACCTCCAATATTCAAATGGTGGGGTCAGAATTTGGCATAAACAACCTGAAGGGATGGAGCCATTCTTCCTGATCCCAAATTATAGAGCAACATTATCTGCCTACCTGAGTACTGTTGCTGCCCAACATGTCCGCAGTGTATCTGTCTTCTAATGGCAACATCAAGCAGGAGGATGAAGCATGTCACAAAGCCCAAATCATCTCAAACCTGGTTTATTGAACATGACACTCACTGCACTCCAAAACAGTCTCCGGATCGCAGTCTGAAAGAGCCCCTTCGGGTTGTGGTGGGAGGGATGGTTTATATCATGGATGTCAAGCCAGCAAGTTTGTTGCAACTCTTTGAAACACTGAAAACAATAACATGCTTATGAAAATGTGTTTAATTTTTTTTGTAAAACGAATTTCTGTGACCTTTCCAATGCACACAGGGTGAAGAGTTGCTTGCCAGGAGCAAGTATACAGTCTTTATTCAATTATAGACGCTTGAAGTATTTCTTGCTCCCATATGATAAGCAACAGGGGGATTTGACCCGCAGTGAACTCAAGGATAATTGTACTGCTTGATGATTGCAAAATATTATGTTTGGCCAAGAAAAGTTAATAACATCTTGGATAATGAAAGAACTGATTAGAAAAGCAGATGTGAATCCACGGTTTTTTTTTCCATATTTATGTTGGAAGTGGAGTTTTTTTTTCTTCCTTCATTTGGAGACTTAAGGGGACCCTAACATGACGTCACGTTCCATATATGGTAATGATGGTTTTTTGTAGATCTTCTCAAAGTAACAAAAAAATCTAATCCTCGTACACACACATCAAATTTTGTTTTTTTTTTTACATATAAAGTAACTTTTATGCGTTTGCCCATTTTCATTTACTGTGTGGTGGTAAAATAATGACGCAGGACATCACCCTTAATCTTAAAGCGGCAGTGTCCGCATTTAATGAACATTAATTGGAAAAAAAAAAGCAATCAGAAACTGTTATGCTAAATAAGCGCGCGTTGCTTTGGATTCTGAATTACGCTGTTAGAAAATGAACCCAGTTTGTACGCAGTCAGGCTCGGTGAAGAATCTCCATCTGAGCATTTGAGCTCCGGATTCCTGGGAGTCTTTCTTTTTTTTAACCAGGGGGAAGATGTTCTGTTTAGATGTCCCGGTATGTGTAAAAGTTGAAGGCATCCTCCCCTTCGGAGTGTTATTGCAGCTTTAAAGGGTCCACAATGCCTTGCGGTGTCCCAGTTCTTCCAAGGCGATGTAGCTCTTTACCAGCAGGAGTAATGAAACAGGCAGAGGAGAGGCAGGAGAGAGAGGAGCGTTTTCCGCAGCTGAGCCCCAAGACCGCAGAGGACAAGCACAAACTTTCAGACAGCGGTCTGATCTCTGCTTTCATCCGGATTCATCCACGGCCTTCTTCTGTTTGTAAAACGTGATCTCCCCCTCTCTCCCTTCCTATTTTGTCGCATTTCCTTGGAAGTGATTTATTGGGAAATGGTGAAACGGGACACATTTTGCGGAATCCGCTCTTTTACCTGTGTTTTCTCCTCAAACTTCCCCTCGGAGGGGGAGAACTGAGCCGGATCTGCTTTGTATCTTGAAGGTAGGATTGCTTGATCGCTGCAGGCTGTTACCGTAGCTGAGCCAGTTTGTTGTAGTGTAAGGCGAAAATAGCGGAAACATTTCCATAGTGGGATACTTTTGCGACTCTCTGATCCAACTGCAGCCCGTTAACGCCATTAGAGGCTCGTCCAGCCTTCACATAACTACAGTCAGTAAATACTCTTGCATTTCGCCTGTCCTTGTGTTTAAGCGTTCAGCTGTAGTTCAACTAAAGATCTTTCTTCTCAGTTCTTTCAGCCCATCTGGAAATGTTATGAACTTTTCCGTCTTTGATAGTGACGGAGTCAGACAAAGAGCTGGTATGGTGAACACAATTATTCGCTAAAGTATTCACTTCCCTTTGTAGAAACGACAATTTAAATGTATTTTAACATGTATTAGATCAGTATACATATAGCACATAATTACAAGGGAAAATTATAATTATTATTGTTGTTATTTCCTTTGGAAATGAACA